GCGGTTCTCCAGTTCATTTTTTCCCCTCCTCAAGCCCAGTAACCGCTACTACCAACGGTGTTGGGGACAGAAACCGCTGTCTAGCCAGAAATGAGTTGAATACAGAGAATAAGATGCTTTAAAACCGTTGGAGGGCCTGGGCTTCTAGGAAAGACATCCGGAACTCTGAAAAAACTGCCCGGGGGAGCTACGAACTCTGCCACTGGAACTGTTGAAGATGAGTGTATCTGCAGTCCAGGGATCAAGAATCCGATGCTGCCACAACCAGTCTTAAGATATGTGAAGCTGGCGTCTAGATACACGGGTCGTGGAGTCTCTGCCACCACTGCTTCTTAACCCAGAGCTGCAGACAAGATACTGAAATGAGGCTGCAGAAGAATCCCAGGAGTAACTCTGGGACCTTGCTTGCCAGCAGAAAATGGCAAGTAGCAGGAAGATGACCTCCATCTTCCCCAGATACTGATAATTGGTCCAACATTTATTCTTCTCCAGGTCCCTGGAGTAATTTTTCACCTGGAAAATGTATTTTTTCATTTCTCAGTCTCTGCAACATAGAAAAGTATGTGAGAAGGTGGGAAAGGAAATGATGTTCCAATCAACCATGTCTCACAAAATAAATTTTATTATGAGACATACAGGCAGAGATGTGAGTAAATATGCCTTAAACACTGCTGTTCAGATATACCAAGTAAAGGACTTCCCTGGTGGCGCAGTGGTTAAGAATCTGCCTGCCAATGCAGGGGACACACGTTCGAGCCCTGCTCGGGGAAGACCCCTCATGCCGCGGAGCAACTAAGCCCGTGTGCCACAACTACTGAGCCTGCGCTCTAGAGCCCACGAGCCACAACTACTGAAGCCCCCGTGCCTAGAGCCCGTGCTCCACAGCAAGAGAAGCCACTGCAATGAGAAGCCCACGCACCGCAGTGAAGAGTAGCCCCCGCTCACTACGACTAGAGAAAGCCCGCGCACAGCAACAAAAATCCAATGCAACCAAAAATAAAATAAAATTAAAAAAAGATATACCAAGTAAGGCCAATTGTTTTCTGACATAACATCTACTATTCTAGCATGTCTTCTTTCCCTTTTTTCCGTATCAAAAGTCACTAATTTGAAGGAAAAACCTAAGATGTAAAAAAGAACCAGGCTTTCCAGCAAGATATGAATAACTAAAATCACAAATGTAAGCAAAGGGAAAGGGGGAAATTCTTGAAGTTCATTATATGATAGGGAATAGGATACTTGAATATGTTTATTATACTTAATTAGCTCATCATTAACTCTTCTGCTTCTTTTTCCAGTTACACAGTTTATCTTTTACCCACATGTGTATTTATTGCAGGCATCCAACTGCCGCACAAGTTCAGGCCAATGGAAGAAAAGAGCAGCAGAAATTGAATGAAACCCCAAAGCAAGAAATTAAAGAGGGCTTTGATTTATTCGATGTTGTTGGGTCTGGAACCAGAGATGTGAAAGAATTGAAGGTTCTGAAATTACTTATAATTCCAAAACATTTGAAAAACTATCATTGGTTTGTTACAATCTTTAAATCTTTCTTTAACAGTAGCCTTCTGAAACCTTGATATAAAATCTCTTCAGTTCAGACACCTACCCCTGCAGTGTACATGCCTGGCCTGCATTAACAAAACAGTATCTGGTTAAAGCATTTTATTCTTGTTTTATGAATGAGTAGGCCAAAGCCCATTGTGTGACAGTGACATCCTATGGCACGGTAGGATTGGAACCTAAGCCTGCTGACCTGACTTTCTAGGTTTAAGCCTAGTCCATAGTGAAAAAGAGAGAACCTAGTAATTAATAGGTAGTTTAAGAGCTAGGAATGAGATTGTGGCCTATTATAATTTATTTGCTTTCTATTTCAGATTGCAATGTGAGCCTTAGGATTTGAACCAAAGAAAGAAGAAATTTAAAAAATGATAGCTGAAATTGACAAAGAAGGAATCGGCACCATTAGTTTTGAAGATTTTTTGGCCATAATGAGTGTAAAAATGGTATAGTAGTGATTTTCTTTTTCAATGAAATACAAGCAGTAGCCTTCTACAATTTTTGGCTGAAGCAATCAGAGGAAGAATTGGAAGTAGGTCTTTAAAGATGGGTAGGATTTAGATAGATAGGAATAACAAGATTAAAGATGTTTTCAGGGTAGTAATGAAGACTGTCCAGTGTGGAGAAGAGGTTTTTTGTTAGGAAATAATAAGGATATATGGCTGGATAGAGAGAACGGGGCCAGCATTTTTAAGCCTTGAAATCAGCAATTTATTGAGTGCCTATTTTTGTCAGGCAGTATCCTAGGGAGCATTGAATGAGACAACCTCCCTGTTCTCTTGGAGCTTACATTTTTGAAATGGATCTCAGTTACTCAGGTTAATATAAGATAGATTCTCTTTTTCACCCTGTGGCTCTTCCACTTAAATAAACCCTGAGTTTCAATACCTTGAGGGCAGATGTGAATGCATTGGAATACTTGTTAAAAGTCAGAGCAGTAAATAGAGCTCAGCTACCTGCTGTATCTCTGTTCTAAACCGCAAAGACCTATACATCCAGACTAATCAAATAAATAAAGACTAATGACATTTAGTTGTTTCTGTTTTTAAGAGTGAAAAAGATGAAAAAGAAGAAATATTGAAGGCTTTCAAATTATTTGATGATGATAATACAGGAAGTATATCACTAAACAATATCAAGAGGGTTGCTAAGGAACTAGGGGAAAATTTGACAGATGAACTTCAGGTAAATTTTGCTTATTTGTATAATTATAATTTCACATATAACTTATTTACAATTATAATTTATTATAATTTATAGTTATATTCTTTAGTTGTGTTAATAAATACATTTAAAATAAAATTTGGTTTTGAGTATGTATTTGAATGTTCATTTATATCATTATTCCTTTTTAATAGATTTCACATATCCTATTTACATTTCATTTTACAGGAAGTGCTTGATGAAGCTGATCATGATGGGGATGGAGAAATAAATGAGGAAGAATTTTTGAGAATGATGCAAAAGACCACTCTTTATTAATACTGTTTTTTGTTCCTTCTGACAAGTTGTTAACAAGTTTGTATTTAAGTTCCATAATATCTGTATGTATTCATTTTCAGGGTTTGGTTTATGTACACAGACTGGTCTTTTGATATCTAGTCCATGTGAGAAGTTACATGTTTCTACCAATATGTTGTTAAATCTGTAGCATCAAGAAACAAAGGAAATGTAGTGACTTCCTTGAACCATGAATCTGAGAACAGTATTAATTCCAAGTGCTATTTTTAGAGCCCCAGGGTCCAAAGACTTAGATTTTTTTTTTTAATTTAAGGAAATCAGCCCCACATCAAATGAATTTGACAAGCAAGCCATTACTTTCCCTGTTACTTTCCTTTTGTGCAACTCTAAAAATGATGAACATTTGCTTTTTAACCAATTATTCAGATACGTAAAGCCTTAAATAAAACTATCTGGCAACTTCATTATTTGCTAATTTTCTTCTTATAAAGAAATTCAAAGCAGCATTTATATTATCCAGATTTCCCCATACGTTTGACCCTATAAGTTAGCATTTATTTAATACCTGTGTCCTAGGACAGGTGCTAGGGGTTTTACATATATTATCTCAGTTACTATTTAGAAGCAGTAGTATTAGCTCCATCTTACTACATATGAGAAAACTAAAGTTCAGAGAATTTAAATTTTAAAATTGCTAATTTGCCCCATAGATGATAAAATATGGATTCTAAATCTCATAACCTCACTCTTCATTATGTTGCTTCCCTGTGGATAAAAACTCTCAGGATAATTGTGTGTATTTTCTAACTCATATAATTTTATGACTCTATTGTAATTTAATTTTGTTTTTTATGAAAGAGCCAAACTATGGGGAGTCTTTTGACCCCCACTGGGCCACATAAGAATGGGCCTTGGGCCTGGAACACTTCCTTACCAAGAGATGGAATCCTTACAGCTTACGCTGTCACCTTGTCTGTAATTATCTTTCTCTATTTCAGACTCAATGTGTACTACTTTGTTCTGCTTAAGTACATGTGTCATATGGCACCTGGCCAACCCCAGTGCCTATCTGTCCCCTTTGGGGAGAGGACGGGGTTCTTCTGTTGCACAAGAAGGGTGTGTGTTGGCCAATTGCCCAGTGTTGGCTGCTGGGAGGGACCTGCTGGCTATAGGAAACTGACACTCACTACTGAAGCTGATCTTTCGCTGTCTTTTCTCTATTCTAGTAAAGCACTGTTCCAGCTAGTACTTAACTGCACTGTGTTTTCCTTAGCAGCTCTGATACCAAGATGCAGTGGGCAGAAGTGCTTCGGGCTTCTGCTCCTGATAATAGGTAACAGATGCCACTTGCTGGACAAAACTCCTCCTAAAATCAAGTACATGGTAATGGTCTTTGGAGCAAGAAAGGCTGGTAGAAAATGTTACTTTAATTGCCCCAACTAATTTATTTTTAGCTCAACTGAAATGAAGACTAAAGTTTTTTGTTTTGTCAACACAAGAGAGGTTTTTATTTGATTTAAGCTAGGTTGGCATATGCTAATGAATGTTCTTAAGTGCTTCACAGTATTTTAAATTCCTAATTATGTAGCATTTCCTCTAGACTAAAGAACGATATACCTACTAAACATGCTTCATATGTGAAAATTATGGCCTTTAAGTTGTTAAAATATTTATATTTTTAAGTGGGTAATACACTTAAAAATACACATGAACAAGTTCAAAGAGTTCTAAATAAGTCTTCTTACCATTCAGCCCCAGGTCTCCTCAGAGATAATTATTTTTACCTGTTTCTTATGGATCATTGCAGAGGGTGCATATACCTATGCACATGAATAAAGAATAGATTTTTTTCCCACAAATGATAGCATACTACATACATTGTATATATTAATTTTTTCACTTAATACATTTTAGTGATAGTTCCAGAGCAATGCAAATAAAATGACTCATTCTAATGGCTATATAATATCCCATTGTAAAGATTATATTTTATTTAAGAGTCTTCTATTGGTGGACATTTTCTTTATTTCTAATCTTTTCCTTAATATCCTTATACATATGTCTCTGTATAGATGTGAGTATATCTGTAGAATTAATTCTTACAAGTGAGATAGTTGGGTCAAAAGCTATATGCATTTTAATTTAAACATTTTTTATTTTGATAGATATTGTCTTCTAAAAATATGTTTGCCAAGTTACATTCTTAATAGTATATGAAAATGCCCATGTTTTGATAAAGTATTACCAAACTTTTTATAAATCTTTTTTTTTTAAATCAGGGGTGATATTATTTATTTAATTATTTATTTATGGCTGTGTTGGGTCTTCGTTTCTGTGCGAGGGCTTTCTCTAGTTGTGGCAAGGGGGGCCACTCTTCATTGCGGTGCGCGGGCCTTTCACTATAGTGGCCTCTCTTGTTGCGGAGCACAGGCTCCAGACGCGCAGGCTCAGTAATTGTGGCTCACGGGCCCAGTTGCTCCGCGGCATGTGGGATCTTCCCAGACCAGGGCGCGAACCCGCGTCCCCTGCATTGGCAGGCAGACTCCCAACCACTGCGCCACCAGGGAAGCCCTTACCAAACTTTTTGATTTCTGCCAATGTAACAAGTTGCAAGTCATATCTCATTGTAGGTTTAAATGTTAAATTATATTATGAGAGGCATTGGGTATCTTTTCATATTTAGGATCTGTTTTTTTCCTTTCAGTGTATTGTCTATCTGTGTCCTTTGCCTATTTTATTGGTGGATTTTTAAAAATTTATTGATTTCTAGAAGCTCTTTCTATACAAAGGAAATTAATCTTGTCACATGTGTTGCATGTATTTTCCTGTTTGTTGTTTGTCTTTTGATTTTAATTATGGATCAGTTTTTAAATTTTAAAAAGTTTACTTCATGAGATTATTTCTATAGATGTTCAAACTATTGTAACAGTAAGATGGCAATGATGTGTCTTTTATCAGTATTTATTCTCACAATAACTGTATTTGTCCTATGAGACTGTAGTCTAATTCTGAGAGTTAAAAAGTGGGGGACGGGCTTCCCTGGTGGCGCAGTGGTTAGGAGTCCGCCTGCCGATGCAGGGAACGCGGGTTCGTGCCCTGGTCCGGGAGGATCCCACATGCCGTGGAGCGGCTGGGCCCGTGAGCCATGGCCGCTGAGCCTGCGCGTCTGGAGCCTGTGCTCCGCAATGGGAGAGGCCACGACAGTGAGGGGCCCACGAACCACAAAAAAAAAAAAAAAATTATACAAAAAATGGGGGACAAGGTGATTATTTATCATGCCATTGAATTTTCCATTTGAAAAATAATCATCTTTACTTTTTAGATGAGATGATCTGGATTTAATCCAATGCTGGAGTAAGGGAGAGTTTTATAAGCATTAGATCTGTTTGAGTTTGCTTTATGTTTGACTGAACCCAGCTAAAATGCCTCAAACTCTAAAAATGGCCCTGGGAATATTGCTAGAAGAGGAAAATCCAGGACCAGGCCAGAACTCTTAAGCTATTTTGGAACATATTCAGGCTTCTATGACTGCTGTGGCAGAAATTTACTCCTTAAGATGAGGTGAAATTTGTTGAGGTATTTACATCTCAAAATGTTTCCCTATTAAAAATACTTTTTGAGGGCTTCCCTGGTGGCACAGTGGTTAAGAATCCGCCTGCCAGTGCAGGGGACATGGGTTCGAGCCCTGGTCTGGGAAGATCCCACATGCCGCGGAGCAGCTAAGCCCGTGAGCCACAACTACTGAGCCTGTGTGCCACAACTACTGAAGCCTGCACACCTAGAGCCTACGCTCTGCAACAAGAGAAGCCACTGCAATGAGAAGCCTGCGCACGGCAACGAAGAGTAGCCCCCGCTCACCACAACTAGAGAAAGCCCGCGCACAGCAACAAAGACCAAGTGCAGCCAAAAATAAATAAATAAAATAAATTTATTTAAAAAATACTTTTTGAGATTTATAAATTTTGTAAAAAAAGAAAAAATTGAAAATTATGACTATTTTATGGTTTCACAGTCAAATAAAGGCAGACAACGTAAGATGATAAGACTTAAAAGGCTTGAATCATTTTAGCCAAAGATCTTAGAATTCACTTACTTTTATCCCAGAACAAATTCAAACTTACCTAGTTTTCTACATTTTCCTTCCTCTCCCGGGAGCAAGATCAAATCCAACAGTACGTGGACAACTTAAGAAGCTGTCATAAAGGCATAAAGGTGGTCGAAATTAGAATAATGCTTACTAAAAGAAAAATCATTTCAATCACTAATCAACATCAAAGTTTTTAGATTGTCTTCTAGGAAGGGGGGCTGTGAAGGATACAATGAATTAGATGTGGATCATATTGTCTCTAAGTTGGCTGGTAGTTCATGTGGTAGGCATCTTCTGAAGTGGCTCTCAGTGATCCCAGTTTCCTGGTACCCTTGCCCTTGTGTAATCCCTTTGTTGAGTGTGGAGTAGATCCAATGATTGGCTACTAATTAATAGAATATGGCAAAAATGATGGGAGGTCTCTTACAATATTGGGTCTTAAAAGACGTTTACTTCCCTCTACTGGCACTCTCTTGCCTTTTTGTTTGCTTGCTCTGGTGAAGCCAGCTGCTGTGTTTTGATCTGCCCTATGAAGAGAACCACATGGCAAGGAGCTGAGGGTAGCCTCTGGCCAACAGCAAGTGAGGGACCAAAGCTTTCAGTCTGTCAACAAGGAACCAAATCCTGCCAGGAACCATTTGAAGGAGCTTGAAAATGGATCCTTTTCTAGTTCATCTTTGAGGTGGGCTGCAGGCCCTGCTGGCAGCTTGACTGCAACCAGTGAGAGACCCTGAAGCAGAGGAGGACTCAGTTAAGCCACATCTTGATTCCTGAACTTCAGAAACTAAGATAATAAAGGTTATTTTAGGCTACTAAGTCTTGGGAGTAATTAGTTACACAACAAGGGATAACTAATACAGTCCCCCATCTTGAAACTTGTGTGTTGACTTCTTACCAATTGGGTTGCTAGATATACAAGTAACCAAGTAACAAT